CGTAAAATGAACCCTTCTTACCGCTTATTGAATTGCAGCCACCGCTTTTCAAATTGCGCCAGTTTCCTGTTAGTGCTTGTAGGCATGTATTTATAAAGCGGAAACTTGACAAAAGGGTTTGAGAAAGTATCTCCGATAAGTGATTCCACCAAAGCTCTGAGATCGAGTAACTCCTGAAGCTCGTCTGCAGTTATGTCTCTTCCGTATGTGAACCTCATTAGTATTTTAAACGTCAGTTGAATCAGATCAGCCATTCTTATGAAACCCTGAAATGGCGAAACAAGCCACGGATATCACAAGCTGAATTTATGGTAGTCGTGCCAAAAATGGTATATAAACGGGTAAGACCGGTGGAACCTCGGGGGCAGCCTCCCTGCATAAAACCTTGTAGAGTGCCCCCGCCCCCACCGGGATGGTAGTCTTCTTTTTTAGGGGAGGAGTGTTGCATGATGGCAATAAAAGGAGACTGACCAGGTGCTGACTTATTCATATTACAATTGACAGGTGCTAGGGAGCGTGTGTTGATCTGGTGGTTATCCCATTGGACTTTTGATCTGAAAAAGGGTATGAGGCAGTGCGTTTCCTGAGTTTGCCCTATACTGCCGACATAATAAAGAGAGTCTTTGCTTCCGTATTTTATTCGTGAAAGAACGCTTACTGTTACGTTGTAACATGACTGCAAATGGCGAAGGCAAACAAGGCGGGAAAGATGGTCATGTGGTCATCTTTCCCATCTCTGCCTCTTGCGTATGCCCGTTAAGGTTGGGTGATGCTTTATCTCTCTAATGCTCTCTAATCCCTTAACGCATATTATGCAGAGATGAGTACAAACACTCTTTTTACAATAACTGAACGAATCCTCACGCGTTGATTGGTCGAGAGCTATGGTTTATGAGAGTATAGAACCTGGAAATGACGTAACATTTCACGCAGTGCCGGTTGCTTTGTTTTTGGTTTTTCGAAAAAAAAAATGTTATTGTAAAAAACAAATCGACCACAATTTTCCACGGTCTACACTCTTATAAACCATAGAAACCACTCGCCTGCGGCTCGTGGTTCCCCTTGAACTTTATTTGTTAAATAGAGCTTTAAACAACAATAACACAAGCCGGAAGCTCCGTTTGCTGCTTTTACAGTGACCGTCCATTGCCCCCAACCCCCAAATGGTATTCAATAAGGAACCAGATTATTGAAACCTTTAGAAGGTCAGGATTCGATTTTTTAGAGCAAAAAGGCGTGAGATTCTGGAACAAACCTTGGAAATTGGGTGACTTTTGAGTAATGGCATTTGGGAAACGTTGTTTTATCGAACCGAAATCCGGTGACGAAAGTACGTTAAAATAAATACCCTTGAATGCAGAGGTCCACTCAGAGCGTAAATAAAACCGACTGGTTCTTTCTTGCCGGATCTCAAATGTAGAGATGCTAATACCAGACAAAACTTGAAGTGGGAATTCAGAAACAAAACTAAATACAAGGCTGGCAATACAGCAAAGTAAGTTGCTTTTCTTTAAATGGTGGGGGTACTTGGGTCAATTCATGATGGATATGGGTCGCTGGCTAGTTGTAAACTCCATCTTAGTCACTTTTAGGAAAACGTAGTTTTCAAGGAATTTTTTAGAATAATCGAACCCCAAGTAAGTCACTTTCTTTTGCCGCGGTAACAACTATTAAACCGCGAATCTTTCCATTTCTCAACCCCTATTTACCAGGAGATGTTCTCATCCACCAAAATCCCGAAAATGTGCTACCACCTTCTAGAAACTCTAAAAGCAACCTCATTGTAGTCAATCCATTGGTGTAAATACAACCCCATCCAGTGGCACACCCCATCAGCATATATTAAACGCAGTAATCCCCCGGCGGGTTATGAAGCACCGGAATCATTAAATTAATACCTGTTTATCTTGAACCATCTGATTTAAATACTGTTTGCATTCCTGTTCCATCATACCCACTGCCTGTGCCACACTCTCTGTGCTGTAACACGGGTCAAATGCACTCCGTATCCGCTTGTGGGCATCACCACTTGCCGTCCCGGCTGCGTGACCAAACAGCTGGCGAAACACACTTCCCAATCTGAAGTCTTTTAAACGCTCATACTTATGCTGTTTTGCCATGAATTTCACAGCGATTTGTGGATCTGTTATGATGCTGTGGTCAAGAAAAAAATCAACACATATTTGGATCTAACGAAGTAGTAATGCTAGAAATAAATAAATAAATAACAGAATATAGGTACATGAATAGAACTTGAGGCAAAACAACTGAAAATACCAGACACGCTTTAATACAATCACGCAACGATGTTGCCAATGAAGTAAACTAGCAAGTACAGCTAAATATGTTGGCCAAACCACTCGCCAAACAAAATCTGCCAACAGTGGAGTCTACTTAGATGACATGCAAATGAGTGAAGGCCAGGGACAATTTGTCCCCCAAAACTACTGAATAGACAAAGAGCGTCACGCTTCGTGATACTGCCGAAAACGAAAATCTAAATGTGCAAGTATTGAATTTAGGAAATTTGATGAAAAGTCAAAATTAAAAAAAAAAAACATCTAAGTCGAAAATATTACACATATGATCTTTATATAATGTGAACTTTCTAATAATACTTACAGTTTTGGAGGCCCGGGTAAAAATCGGAGCAAGTACATTCAAAATTTCTTCAATCTTTCATCTTTAAATGCTATGAGTGTTGGTGAAAAGGTCCTGAAGCCAGTTCCTACGATAATTTCCCCAGAATCATTTTGCCAGAAGTAAATCTATAATATAAGCGATCACAGATTAAAGTCAGTGATTATTTCTTTCACGGTTTAGTTTTTCCTTCTGCAAAAATTAAACTTGAAGAGGGTCCGAATTAAAGAAAATGAAACAGACTGAAACAGAAGGTTGATGACTGAACTCTTTTCGCTGTTTCCGATGTCCTAGGAAGCCTCTCTATGTCCTCTATGAAACAACGACAGGCTGATGTCAAGAAGTTGCTGTCCTTTGTCTCTACATTCCAAAACTTAAGTTGTTCAGTTTATAGCCTCTGAGCAAGCTTTCCAGTTATTTTTCTTATTCCCGGGCTCGATTTTTTTTTCAACGTGCATTGATAACGGATTACTGGAGGAAAAGCAATACGTTTTGAGAATGTTAGTGACCACAAATTTTAATAGAAAGACGTATAAGATATTGGTAAACATGATTCACGCATAACACATTAAAACTTACGCTGCAAAATAGCCTGTATTTTGCGTAGGTCAAGAGTTCATTTGCAATCAAGCGAGTGTGAAACGGCTCGCGCGCATCGTGCAAGAATCAGACACCGTCGGCTTTGCTCTTCGGAAAAACCGATTTTGAGGAAAAAAAAAACTTACCTCGAAAAATCTTTTGTAAATCCACGATATCAAAATCACTACGAAAGCAAGGGCAGTGATGGCAAGGCCGAGTATCATCTTGAAATTTGAACACGACTGTAAAGCGATGAAACGAACTCTTCGCAAACTGAAAGCCACTGAAATCTTACGTTATGTCACACAAAGGTTTATCAGTTTGTTAGTTCCGGTCAAGGACTTCCTAGAAGTCACATGGTGACTAAACCAAAGGCATGTAACACGATGTAACCGTCTGTAACGAATCAAGTTCCGTTCAAAGGGGAATTTTTGATGGATATAAATTGACGTACGCGAGTCTCATGACCCTTAAGATAAAACCGAATTTCATTAGTGACGCTTATTGCCCGCGTGCAGACGTCTCCTATTTCCTTTGTTGCACGCAAAGGAAATAGGAGAAGTCTGCACGCAGGCAGAAGAGGTTATATTCCCTCACGTATACTTTATACTTCGACAAAGCTAATTTAAATCATTTTTAACTTTATCACATTTCCGATTATCCCTGTTAACTCATATGAGTGTACGCAAGTGTTAATTCGGAGAAAAAGCTACAAAAAGAACAATTGTACAGTCATCCATGTGGAACAAATAACAAGCATGTAAAACGAGCTTATATGAAGTACTAAGACTGGTGTTCTCATTCGGGAAAAAACGTAATTATACAAAGAAATGAGCTAAAATACCTAACTCAACTAAATGTCAAGTACAGGGGTACTCCACAAAGTTTTGTACTGGGTGGCTTAGCCCCGAGCTCCACCTATAGCCCTTGCCCTTTTATAAACCATTTTAAGGAGACAGTATTGACCTCTAAACCTTATAATTACTTAACCACACTGCATCCCTTTAAAATCTTGGATGAAGTTAATGAACGATATTGCGGGAAACCAACTTGCAAGGCGCGTCTGCTTGAAATATTGCAACTAAAGACCTTTCTTAATACCTAAATGACACACCAGTCCCTGCCTGTCATACACTTCAACTAGTGAAATCCCTTCCCTTTTTTAATACCATCTTACTGACAAAAGTTATCCCTTTCGGGTGGACACCGCTCCCTCATGATATCAAATTTTTAAGCCAAAAAGGCAAAGATCTTTACATTTCATTTTAGCCCATTTTACCCCAAAAAGGGAATCAAGGGAACACACCTTCATTTTCTTTGTAAATTACGATATTAGCGCACTTTCAACTTCCAACTTTACTACCGGTATTTCTGGGAAATAAGCCCGGTAACTTCGACGCTAAATTTAGAGCACGTCATCAGCCATTTTATTCCCGGGGAATTCGACTCAGCGATCGTTCCAGCTATTAAAACCATGATTGGCTAATTGTTAATTGTGATGGACGCATATAAAAAGCCACACCGCTTTCCTTGTGCAGCATGTTAAGCTGATCGTGAGCTCGAAATCAACTTGCTTCTTTTTTTTTCTCCCAAAGAAATAGCCCCTCAAGTTAAAATGGTGCTTAACCTTGTCCAGCTTGGAGAAAGCCTCGTTTTTGAAACAGGTCAAGATGTGATGGCGGGCAACGGTGTAGTATTGTTTGGAATGAGCCCTGGAAATCCATACTTTAAATCCCACGTTATTGAGGACTATGTGCAATACTTGGGAAAGGAAAAAAGAGCATGTATTTATAAAGCGGAAACTTGACAAAAGGGTTTGAGAAAGTATCTCCGATAAGTGATTCCACCAAAGCTCTGAGATCGAGTAACTCCTGAAGCTCGTCTGCAGTTATGTCTCTTCCGTATGTGAACTTCATTAGTATTTTAAATGTCAGTTGAATCAGATCAGCCATTCTTATGAAACCCTGAAATGGCGAAACAAGCCACTGATATCACAAGCTGAATTTATGGAAGTCGTACCAAAAATGGTATATAAACGGGTAAGACCGGTGGAACCCCGGGGGCAGCCTCCCTGCATAAAACTTTGTAGAGTGCTCCCGCCCCCACCGGGATGGTAGTCTTCTTTTTTAGGGGAGGAGTGTTGCATGATGGCAAAAAAAGGAGACTGACCATGTGCTGACTTATTCATATTACAATTGACAGGTGCTAGGGAGCGTGTGTTGATCTGGTGGTTATCCCATTGGACTTTTGATCTGAAAAAGGGTATGAGGCAGTGCGTTTCCTAAGTTTTCCCTATACTGCCGACATAATAAAGAGAGTCTTTGCTTCCGTATTTTATTCGTGAAAAAACGCTTACTGTTACGTTGTAACATGACTGCAAATGGCGGAGGCAAACAAGGCGGGAAAGATGGTCATGTGGTCATCTTTCCCATCTCTGCCTCTTGCGTATGCACGTTAAGGTTGGGTGATGCTTTATCTCTCTAATGCTCTCTAATCGCGCAACGCATATCATGCAGAGATGAGTACAAACGCTCTTTTTACAATAACTGAACGAATCCTCGCGCGTTGATTGGTCGAGAGCTATGGTTTATGAGAGTATAGAACCTGGAAATGACGTAACATTTCACGCAGTGCCGGTTGTTTTGTTTTGGTTTTTCGAAAAAAAATGTTATTGTAAAAGACAAATCGACCACAATTTTCCACTGTCTACACTCTTATAAACCATAGAAACCACTCGCCTGCGGCTCGTGGTTCCCCTTGAGCTTTATTTGTAAAAATAGAGCTTTAAACAACAATAACACAAGCCGGAAGCTCCGTATGCTGCTTTTACCGTGACCGTCCATTGCCCCCAACCCCCAAATGGTATTCAGTAAGGAACCAGATTATTGAAACCATTAGAAGGTCAGGATTCGATTTTTTAGAGCAAAAAGGCGTGAGATTCGGGAACAAACCCTGGAAATTGGGTGACTTTTGAGTAATGGCATTTGGGAAACGTTGTTTTCATCGAACCGAAATCCGGTGACGAAAGTACGTTAAAATAAATACCCTTGAATGCAGAGTTCCACTCAGAACGTAATTAAAACCGACTGGTTCTTTCTTGCCGGATCTCAAATGTAGAGATGCTGATACCAGACAAAACTTGAAGTGGGAATTCAGTAAACAAAACTAAATACAAGGCTGGCAATACAGCAAAGTAAGTTGCTTTTCTTTAAATGGTGGGGGTACTTGGGTCAATTCATGATGGATACGTGTCGCTGGCTAATTGTAAACTCCATCTTAGTCACTTTTAGGAAAACGCAGTTTTCAAGGAATTTTTTAGAATAATCGAACCCCAAGTAAGTCACTTTCTTTTGTCGCGGTAACAACTATTAAAGCGCGAATCTTTCCATTTCTAAACCCCTATTTACCAGGAGATGTTCTCATCCACCAAAATCCCGAAAATGTGCTACCACCTTCTAGAAACTCTAAAAGCAACCTCATTGTAGTCAATCCATTGGTGTAAATACAACCCCATCCAATGGCACACCCCATCAGCATATATTAAACGCAGTAATCCCCCGGCGGGTTATGAAGCACCAGAAACATTAAATTAATACCTGTTTATCTTGAACCATCTGATTTAAATACTGTCTACATTCCTGTTCCATCATATCCACTGCCTGTGCCACACTCTCTGTGCTGTAACACGGATCAAATGCACTCCGTATCCGCTTATGGGCATCACCACTTGCCGTCCCGGCTGCGTGACCAAACAGCTGGCGAAACACACTTCCCAATCTGAAGTCTTTTAAACGCTCATACTTATGCTGTTTTGCCATAAATTTCACAGCGATTTGTGGATCTGTTATGATGCTGTGGTCAAGAGAAAAATTAACACATATTTGGATCTAACGAAGTAGTAATGCTAGAAATAAATAAATAAATAACAGAATATAGGTACATGAATAGAACTTGAGGCAAAACAACTGAAAATACCGGACACGCTTTAATACAATCACGCAACGATGTTGCCAATGAAGTAAACTAGCAAGTACAGCTAAATATGTTGGCCAAACCACTCGTCAAACAAAATCTGCCAATAGTGGAGTCTACTTAGATGACATGTAAATGAGTGAAGGCCAGGGACAATTTTTCCCCCCAAACTACTGAAAAGACAAAAAGTGTCACGCTTCGGGACACTGCCGAAACAAAAATCTAAATGTGCAAGTATTGAATTTAGGAAATTTGATGAAAAGTCGAAATTAAAAAAAAACAACAACAAAAAAAAAACATCTAAGTCGAAAATATTACACATATGATCTTTACATAATGTGAACTTTCTAATAATACTTACAGTTTTGGAGGCCCGGGCAAAAATCGGAGCAAGTACATTCCAAATTTCTTCAAGCTTTCATCTTTGAATGCTATAAGTGTTGGTGAAAAGGTCCTGAAACCAGTTCCTGCGATAATTTCCCCAGAATCATTTTGCCAGAAGTAAATCTATAATATAAGCGATCACAGATTAAAGTCAGTGATTATTTCTTTCACGGTTTAGTTTTTCCTTCTGCAAAAATTAAACTTGAAGAGGGTCCGAATTAAAGAAAATGAAACAGACTAAAACAGAAGGTTGACGACTGAACTCTTTTCGCTGTTTCCGATGTCCTAGGAAGCCTCTCTATGTCCTCTATGAAACAACGACAGGCTGATGTCAAGAAGTTGCTGTCCTTTGTCTCTACATTCTAAAACGTAAGTTGTTCAGTTTATAGCCTCTGAGCAAGCTTTCCAGTTATTTTTCGTATTCCTGGGCTCGATTTTTTTTTTTCAACGTGCATTGACAACGGATTACTGGAGGAAAAGCAATACGTTTTGAGAATGTTAGTGACCACAAATTTCAATAGAAAGACATATAAGATACTGGTAAACATGATTCACGCATAACACATTAAAACTTACGCTGAAAAATAGCCTGTATTTTGCGTAGGTCAAGAGTTCATTTGCAATCAAGCGAGTGTGAAGAATCGGACACCGTCGGCTTTGCTCTTCGGAAAAACCGATTTTGAGGGAAAAAAAAAACTTACCTCGAAAAATCTTTTGTAAATCCACGATATCAAAATCACTACGAAAGCAAGGGCAGTGATGGCAAGGCCGAATATCATCTTGAAATTTGAACACGACTGTAAAGCGATGAAACGAACTCTTCGCAAACTGAAAGCCACTGAAATCTTACGTTATGTCACACAAAGGTTTATCAGTTTGTTAGTTCCGGTCAAGGACTTCCTAGAAGTCACATGGTGACTAAACCAAAGGCATGTAACACGATGTAACCGCCTGTAACGAATCAAGTTCCGTTCAAAGGGGAATTTTTGATGGATATAAATTGACGTACGAGAGTCTCATGACCCTTACGATAAAACCGAATTTCATTAGTGACGCTTATTGCCTGCGTGCAGACGTCTCCTATTTCCTTTGTTGCACGCAAAGGAAATAGGAGAAGTCTGCACGCAGGCAGAAGAGGTTATATTCCCTCACGTATACTTTATACTTCGACAAAGCTAATTTAAATCATTTTTAATTTTATCACATTTCCGATTTTCCCTGTTAACTCATATGAGTGTACGCAAGTGTGAATTCGGAGAAAAAGCTACAAAAAGGACAATTGTACAGTCATCCATGTGGAACAAATGACAAGCATGTAAAACGAGCTTATATGAAGTACGAAGACTGTTGTTCTCATTCGGGAAAAAAACGTAATTATTCAAAGAAATGAGCTAAAATACCTAACTAAACTAAATGTCAAGTACAGGCGTACTCCACAAAGTTTTATACGGGGTGGATCGGCCCCGAGCTCCACCTATAGCCCTTGCCCTTTTATAAACCATTTTAAGGAGACAGTATTGACCTCTAAACTTTATAATTACTTAAACACACTGCATCCCTTTAATAAACTCTTGGATGAAGTTAATGAACGATATTGCGGCAAAACAACTTGCAAGGCGCGTCTGCTTGAAATATTGCAACTAAAGGCCTTTCTTAATACCTAAATGACACACCAGTCCCTGCCTGTCATACACTTCAACTAGTGAAATCCCTTCCCTTTTTTAATACCATCTTTAGCCTGACAAAAGTTATCCCTTTCGGGTGGAAACCGCTCCCTCATGATATCAAATTTTTAAGCCAAAAAGGCAAAGATCTTTACATTTCATTTTAGCCCATTTTACCCCCAAAAGGGAATCAAGGGAACACACCTTCATTTTCTTTGTAAATTACGATATTCGCGCACTTTCAACTTCCAACGTTACTACCGGTATTTCTCGGAAATAAGCCCGGTAACTTCGACGCTAAATTTAGAGCACGTCATCAGCCATTTTATTCCCGGGGAATTCGACTCAGCGATCGTTCCAGCGAATAAAACCATGATTGGCTAATTGTTAATTGTGATGGACGCATATAAAAAGCCACACCGTTTTCCTTGTGCAGCATGTTAAGCTGACCGTGAGCTCGAAATCAACTTGCTTCATTTCTTTCTCCCAAAGAAATAGCCCCTCAAGTTAAAATGGTGCTTAACCTTGTCCAGCTTGGAGAAAGTCTCGTTTTTGAAACAGGTCAAGATGTGATGGCGGGCAACGGTGTAGTATTGTTTGGAATGAGCCCTGGAAATCCATACTTTAAATCCCACGTTATTGAGGACTATGTGCAATACTTGGGAAAGGAAAAAAGAAGAATAATTGTGGTTGTACCACAGCAGCCAGCTGAACATACGTACAGAGCTCTGGGGAGTAAAGATGCTGTGAAACGAGCCAAGAAAAACTCCAGTCAGCTCAAGTCGCACTGCAGAAGAGCTATTGATAAGGTATGTACAGAAAAAAATATAATACTGTCACTGATTAATTGTTGATACTTTAAGAAAGCTTCAAAAAGTACGGTTAAATATCCACCACAACATTTGTTTATTTATTATACTTGTATTCTATAAAACTGACGCGCACTCGCTCTCTTTCATAATCTGGATACAAGCTAAAATTGCATTTAATTTTTTTTCATCCGCCCTCTTCACTGTGGGTGTCTTTCGCGAAACACGTTTTTTAGTGACAACGGAACATGCACTATTTTTGACACTCCCCAATTGTGCGCATGCGTGAGTGACGTCACTGACCTGCTTTTTCTCAGTTAAAAGCCGTAATAACTAATGAGGCTAATTTCGCAACTTTGGTTAATCTTGTGTGTATTACGTACATGTCAAAAGTATTTTGTGTGCTTTTATGTAGAGACGAGCTAAATTTCACAGAGAATTGAGAGAAATCTAACGGAGTATTTCTCGGAAATAGTAACTGGTTTAAAATTAAAGTGAATAGTTTACTACAACAACTTAATTGTCTTTATCTTCGACATGAAGATTTCAGTACCAAAACAATAACAAATGAAAACAGTAAATTATATTTTAAAATTGGCAAGAAATACAACTTTTACTGACTTTCAGTATCTAAAAATGATTCAATAAATAACGATAAAAGTAAAGGAAACATTATAAGGTTTCTGACCAGCCCGTGATAAATTAAACGCAAGAAAACTTGGATTTAAAACAAATTAGAAACTGACGATTCCGCACCCTGAGAAACCGGAAACCGCGCTAGAAAAGTCTCTGGCACCCAGGATAGCTCCCTGTCTGAAGTGTTATATAAAATAGTTTTATCATTTACAAAACTGATCTCTCCCTGAGTTAGATAAGGGATGTGGAGGGGTGGGGGGGGGGGGG